AAAGAAGAATAAATAATAAATAAATATTTTTTTAGCTTGTACTTCTCTTCTCCTCCCTTCTCTCTTTAAAACCCTCAATTTCCTTTACTTCCGGGAAAGGCTTTGTTTCACTCCCAAGGGACATTGGCGGCATATCTGAAGAAAAAAAAGAAGACGATATTGGCCCTTCTCGACTATCTATTTATTTATTTATCGTTCAATAGGGAAATGACCTTCCTACATTGAAAGGAAAGATATGTTTAAAGGAAATGAATGGTGTACCCAAACAGTCCGCAAATCTTCATTCCCCAAGTTTCTGCTCCAAATTTCTGTCCGCAAAATTTAGTCCGCAAGTTTCTGCTGCAAATTTTCTACGCAAGTTTCTTGTCCGCAAGTTTTCCTCCATAAATTTCTGTCCGCAAATTTCTGCTAAAAATTTTTGTCCGCAAATTTTCTTCTTAAAAGCATTGAACGGTTGGCTAGGTTCTTTAAAGGTTTTGCATCCATAACAAAAAAAGATAAGCATATTTCCTGTCCCAGACCTCCCAAAAATTAGTTTTTCTTCCCTTCTTCTGTCGTCACACTTCTATACACATGTTTTTGTCTAAACAAACCACACAGATTGCCTAAGGGCCTTTTCAAAAGGCCAAATCACACAAATCCCCCCTTTTCTTCCACTAACCCTCCTCTCTCTCTCATTGTCCTTTCAAAAGGTGTGAAAAGAACAAAGGGCTTTAAAAGCTTTTTTCCTTTTATTTTTTGCCTTTCTTTTGCCCTTGTCTTTCTATCATTCTCCGTAGGCTGACAAAAAACATGTAAAAGTCAGAAACACAATTGACAGTGGTAGAAAGTGAAAATGAAGGATTTTTTTTGTTTTTTGGCCCCCCCTTCCTTATATTTTTTGAATAAAATAAATTAGTTTGAACGGAGAGAATTAATACTTAAGTACTTTACAGGGGAATAACACGGACAATTGTTTAAAAGATTTAAGGGTAGAGCGACATTTGTGGGCAGATATTTTTGCGGACATCCACTAATTCATAACTAGGCTTGTTTTCTTGATTCAAACAGATTTTCGAGCTTAGTCTTGAGATCTTTTTTGAGTCGAGTCTTAGGAGTCTTTTGCTGATTTTTTTCTTTTAGTGCAGTTGGATTCATTTTCAAGTTTATTTTGTTGGGACTTGTCATTCCTTCTAGACTCGAGTATATTATTTTCAATAAATATTAGGGTTGTTCCCCGAGGGGGGGGGGGAGGCACGGGACGGGGAGAAACCCTAATAAATATGTATCTTCCTTGATTAATCAGCCAAAAATAGTAAATTAGACTTATACCATCCTTAGAAACTATTCGTTTATCCTTTTCCCATTTTCACTTGTCTTCTGTGAAAATGGGCAACCGTCTCCAAGCTAACTATAAGAATAATTGTCTGTTCTCCCCGTCTGCTTTCCTTTATTTAATTAGCCACAAAATTTATTTATTTCTAGTTAATTCTTTTGTTTAATTAATTAATTTTAAATGATTTTTTAACATTTGATAGAAGTTGTCTTTACCTTATGCTTCTTGTCAATCAATTCCCCCTCAAAAACACATCTTTTCTTTTCTCAATTTTATTGACAACCTTTATTCTTTGTTGGTTAAACAATAAGTTCAAAACTCATTTAAAAAATTAAAATTTTAAAGAAAATATTTTTTTAAAGAAATTTAAATTAACAATCTTTTATGAGGGCTAGAGTCAGTTTATGACCATAGTTCTGGAACCGGTTTTCATATTTTTCAAATTTTAACGTTTTTTTTTCTACAGAATTATTTACATGCAAAACCCTCAAACATTTTCTGTCAATGTATCGGATTGACATTCAAAAATAGACATAGACAATCTTAATTTCTCAACAGTTTTTTGCGTGTAAATTAATATTAAATAAAATTTGAAATAGATTACATTATATAAATTTTCTTATAGTTTAGTAACCGAGTCTTTTGTCTAATTTTAATTAATAAAAGATCGAATTATCTATAAAATCCTTAGACTTATATTTTTTTGCTTAAACGTTGAAAAATATTCTCGGATGAACTCTCCTTTCGATTCCATGTTAGGGATTAAGGGAGACTTTGTTTTATACACAGTATAAAGAACGAGCAAAGAAAGTACCGTAAATGCTCTAATAGAACCACACATACTATTTGAAGCACACTCCCTAATATACGCAACCCCTATGTACGACGGGTAAATAATCTATTAATGCATTCACAGCACATTACGTTTCGAAAATCTAAATCCGTGTAAAAGGCACATTAAGGGTGTTTTTATCTGTCAACATATTGGTTGACATTCAAAAATACTTATTTTTGGTTTTATTCTTATCCGTTTGTAAAACTTTATTACGAAAAATAATATTAAAAAATTTAAAGTAGATTACATATATTAAGTAAAATTTTTTCATTATTTAGGAAATGTTCATTTATGTTTCTTCATCGTTCAAGGACAGAATTAGTTATAAATAGGGCGTGTCAAAACATGCAAATGCATATTTTGCATGCGGATATGCCATGAGCTGAAACGCTCAAAAATGGTGTTTTTACATCGGTACGAACATTAGGGACCGGGTTCCTATAGCATATTTTTGCATATTTCGGTACTTTCGTGCATATTTGCATATAAATGCATATTTTGGGAAATTTTGCATATTTTTACCTAAATTTGTGCATATTTTGGCATTTTTTGAGAAATTTTAGTAAAAATCGGGCAAAATTTTCAAAATTTAGGAATTTTTTGGGAAAAAAATTTTTTAATAAAAATTTTTCGAAAAAATTTTTTTGAAAAATTTTCCGCGATAAATTTTTTTCAAAAAGATTTTTTTGGTTAAATTTTAAGTTCATAAAATCATTTAGAAATGCTCTTAAACTGCAATTTAGATGCTAATTTAGTATTTTTTAAATTTAGATATTGATTTTTAAAGCATATTTTCATTATTTTTGCAGTATATTTAATGCATATTTTGCATATTTTGGTGCATATTTTGGACTTTTTCGGTGCATATATATGCGCATATTTTGGGATTTTCCGTGCATATTTTGACACGCCCTAGTTATAAAACACCTCAAATTAAATTTTTTCTTCAAAAATTCTTAACTCAACCATCAATTTGTTCCTCTTTTTCGACTTATCAGTAAATATTAGTAAATACTTACTTGAATGATAAGTGTTTGTTAAGTCTTGAACAGCGGTGAGCAGAGGTGTTTCGAAATTTCGATTTTCGATTTTCGTTTTTCGATTTTCGAGGTTTTTTTCCTTTCGATTTTCGATTTCCGATTTTCGAAATTTTGTGATATTTTCGATTTTCGATTTCCGAATTTTTGAAAAAATTTGAATTTTTGGCGCCAAAAATGAGAAATTCTGGCTTATCGGCCATCATAAATTTAAAAAATTTTCGCCTGCGGCGCAGAAAAAAGAAGATTTTTAGCTTAAGAATGCTCCAAAATTTTCAAAATTTGCGCCTGCGGCGCTGAAAAGGGAAGATTTTTGGCTTAAGGATGTTCCAAAATTCTCAAAATTATCGCCTGCGGCGCTAATTGGAGGAAGCCCTGATCTATTAACAATATTATGCCTCGGCTCCGGTTATTGGGTATTATCCGGTTATTGGGTATTAGGTAGCTCTAGTATATTGGAGGATTTGCGTGAATTAAGGTGGATTTGGAAGCCCCCTTCCCCATGCCAGAACCCTATGCCAGGTGCCGTCCACCATTGAGTAAAGCGACCTAGCTCTGCTTTACTATATTCAGGGATTTTACTCAAATCCTCCATTATCCCTCTTAATCCACACAGATCTCATGATGAGAGATCCACTTGAGACCTAACATAACAAAAATTAATTTTCAAATTTTTTTATCAAAAAATTTTTTTTCGATTTTCGTTTTTCGATTTCCGATTTTCGAGGTTATTTTTCTTTCGATTTTCGATTTCGAAGATTTTGAAAAATATTTTCGATTTCCGATTTTCGAAGATTTTTTTGTTTCGAAACACCTCTGGCGGTGAGCGCATTGCGTTATTTGCGTTAAATTTTGGCCTTGCGTTGCGTTTTGCGTTATTTGAGTTTGTCGCTTGCGTTCATCCCCGGTCTGGACATTTTTCTAAAATTTTAGGTTCAAATTATAATTTAATTTTCTTATTTATTTCACCAAAATTTTCTCTTTATAATTTAAATTAATTCAATAAAATGCTTGCAAACAAAATTTATATAAATTTAATCCTATTTTTATATTTTCAGCTGTCGCAAAAAATCTCTTTAAAATTATTAAAACGTTTTAGAATTTATTAATTTTTTATTTTATTAATTTTTCTATTAATTTTATATGTAGCTATTTAATATAATACTATTTTACGCCTACATTTTTTTAAATATAAAAATAATTTTTTAAAGTACAAAAAGATTTTTGAAAGTTAAAATTCTTTTGATTTTTAATAAATTTATTTTTTGTAAAAAAAATTCCGTGGATATTTGTGTAGGTTATTCCCGGCCCTCTGGAAAATTTTTGGTTAAGAAAAAATTTAGCAAAAGTTTAGACACTGGGCAGGAATCGAATCTGCGACCTCGTGAAGTTATTGCTAGACGCTTTCGCTCACCATATACAGGAGTTCTACTCCTTAGCTACCGGGGCATCGACTAATGCTTTCCATTTATCCTCTTAGATCGTTTAACCACCGCTTAAGCGTTTTAAATGCTCAAGGTGCCTTACAGTTATTTGGAACCGAAACGAGGATCCGAACTGACCAAATCTTAGTTATACTTTACTTATTGACCCAAACCAGTAACAGCGCTCCATGATAACTGTTGATTAATTTTAGATATTTTTTCCAATTACAAATGTATCTTGAATCATTTTCCATGATTCAAGACAGAGACCGAAACCCCTAAGAAATGTCTTGAGTCAAAACTCTAGACCTAGAGTCTCGAACGTCTCTCGTATGTATCATTTTTATATTATACATATATTTTTCTATATACTTGTGTCTATGACCAAATGTTCTGTTTACTCGAAATCTGATCCAAAAAAATTTTGAATACCCAACTCAAATCCAATCCGTTAGATCCCTGTATATATTTCCAAATTTAGTCAAAATGCAATTTTATTCATTCTTTCTTGCTTTAAAGACTCATCTCCAGTATCACTTTACTCTCAATCATTTTTATACATCCCCCTTTCAGAGAAAATATTTTTATTATCTCATACCTTCCCTCATTCAACATTTATATATTCTATATATTTTTGCCATTTTTATTTTTTTCAATTTTTGGCCTCTTTCCTCATAAAAATTTTTCTCACGCAATCCATACACCTTTACGGATACCTTTTTTAACCTTTTTATTTCTCAAAAATTTTTATTGCCATTTTTTAATATTTTATGATTTTGTTCTTTAATTTTTTAAACATTCCACATGGTCACGAGAACTCGCGCACTCATAATTTTTCGAATATTAGATCTACATACCTAGGTATATTGACAAAATTTGTGTAAATATATTTTTCTAATATTTTTATTAGTTTTGTATAATTTGACAATTTTTTAGTACATACTTCTGTTGTCTGAAAAAAATTATTAAAGTTCAAAGAAACGAAATATACTAAAATTCTGAATTTTCCCATATTTGTCCAATTAATATGAGGAAGCTAGACTAAAGACAAACGGATAGAAGTTTAGAGTTAAATACTAGGATGTCAGATAGGTAGTTGAATACTTAGGATCTGATTCGGATCCGAACCGTAAATGCATGATATCCAGCCTTTTTCTGATCCGGATCCGACATCACCATTACATATCAACTATAAACGTTATCTGTCAATGTATTCCATTGACATTCAAAAATATTACTATGCTTAATGTACACAACAAATAAATTGCGTTGATTAAAGTTAACATTTAATGAAATTTGAAATAAATTATATTATGTAAATAGTAGCTTAAAAAATTTAATCATGAATGAGAGTATGCTTGAGTCCTCCAGAAACTGCCAATTTTAGCTATCACTTTAAATATTTCATGTCTCCAATTCTTATTCTAACCAGGTCAAAAATCCTCAACTAGTCATTACTTGCCTTATCTTACCCCTCCCTGATTCCACTTTTTAACTAACAATTATCGAGCAAACTACAATTTAAAAAACTTCAAAAATTCGTCAATATTAAATATTTAAGTCATCTTTTTTTAATATTTAACTCACACTTTTTTTTATTATTTTTTTAAAGTTCATCATTTACCAAGTATTTATTAAAAGTCATTTTTAAATATTTCCTTTAACGTATTTCCTCATTTTAATTAGTTTTTATTTTTTTGTTTATTAAAAAAATAATTATAAGAATTGGGTAGATTTTTTATTTAATATGTCTGATTATTTGGCAATTAAAACAAGTCAACTGAAAATTTCAAAAAAAATTTCAAAAAAATTTTTTTATAATTTTTTAGTCGAATTCCACACTCAAATAAATATACTTTCTTCGGTACAGAAAAATCGTGTATAAAATAGGGTGTTATATAAAAACGAGATTTGTCTATTACATTTTTATTTAATAATTCCGAATAAAAATTAGGCTAATAAATCTCCTTCATATTCAGTAGACATTTCAGAAACCCCATTCGTTATGTAATCTTCATGTTAAATTTACATAATATAATTTATTTATTTTAGATTTTTTTATTAAGTAATTTCTTGAAAAACTTATTGCCACTAACCAAAATTGCATTTCATTTTTTGTATTTTTGAATGTCAATCGAAGGAGATTGGCAAAATAAATAGGGACGTAAGAATTTGTTGTCATGTTTTGTTTCTAGCTTTTTTGGAAAATCGGTTTCCAGTGGAATTTTGGGATTTAAGTGACAATTATTGAAAATGGCGCTAATTTTGTGTGTTATTCAGAGATGTTTCGAAATTTCGATTTTCGATTTTCGTTTTTCGATTTTCGAGGTTTTTTTCCTTTCGATTTTCGATTTCCGATTTTCGAAATTTTGTGATATTTTCGATTTTCGATTTCCGAATTTTTGAAAAATTTGAATTTTTGGCGCCAAAGTGGAGGATTTTTGGCTTATTGGCCATCATAAACTTAAAAAAATTTTCGCCTGCGGCGCAGAAAAAGGAAGATTTTTGGCTTCTTGGCCTTCCAAAATTCTCAAAATTTTTGCCTGCGGCGCTGAAAAATAAAGATTTTTGCCTTAAGGATCATCAAAATTTTCGCCTCCGGCGCAAAAAAGAAAGATTTTTGGTTCTTAGCCTTTCAAAATTCTCAAAATTTTCGCCTGCGGCGCTAATTGGAGGAAACCCTGATCTATTAACAATATTATGCTTCGGCTCCGGTATATTGGAGTATTTGCTTGAATTAAGGTGGGATTGGAGGGAGCAGGCCATTTGGAGGGATCAGGCCAGATGGATGGAGCAGGCAAGTTGGAGAGAGCAGGCCCCTTGCCGGAACCCTATGCCAGGTACCACCTTATGAGTTTACTCAAATCCTCCGTTATCCCTCTTAACCCACACAGATCTCAGGATTAAATATTAATCTTTACACTCGGAGTCTGGAGATAACAAGAAGCCGCTAGAAAATCACCGGCTCTGGAGCCAGGATCTCAATCTGATATGCAAAATTTTGGGTTTGGATATCCGTGATTTCCTTGGAATCCCAAATTCCTTAGAGTTCAAGCAAAAGTTCCAACTTGTAACATAAAAATTTATTTTTTTATTTTTTTTATTAAAAAATTTTTTTTCGATTTTCGTTTTTCGATTTTCGATTTTCGAGGTTATTTTTCTTTCGATTTTCGATTTTCGATTTCGAAGATTTTGAAAAATATTTTCGATTTTCGATTTCGATGTTTTTGGATTTTTTTCGATTTTCGATTTCCGATTTTCGAAGATTTTTTTGTTTCGAAACATCTCTGGTGTTATTGTGGGTGTCGTGATGAATTTTTGGATTTATATTTGGACCCACAGAAATTGTATCCCTGAAGATCAGGCAGATTATGAATATGAGAAAGGAGATCGTTGATCAACAATATCTGTTGATCATTTGTTGATCTCTCAGGACCAAGTGGGAAAACACAAACCTCTGTTGAGCTAAGGGTTGTCTCCAAAATTTTAGAAAAGTGTCCCTGAATTTCATATTTACGAAACTCGATTTTTGAAATCTGTAATTTATTTTTATGCCCACACGATGCCTAATGTAGGGAAAATAAGAGTTTTTTATTTTTACGATTTTTTATTGTTAAAGTTAAAAATTTTTTTTAAGTTTTTATAAGATTAAATATTAAAGCAAATTTAAAAAATTTTTTTTCAGAAAAAAATTTTTTTTAATGTTGCCCTGGTGGCTACCTCTATTAATTTGTGTCCCCCTCTTTTCTGTATTAATTTCCCTTGCCTTTTCTGGAAACCTTCTAGTAATCGCAGCAATATTTTACGACAGAAAATTGCGTAGACAACCAGAAAATTTATTTTTAGTTTCCTTAGCCATGTCAGACTTGTTTGTTGCTGGAATGGTTTTTTAGAAATTTTTGAAAATTTTTGAAAAAAATTTTTCTGAAGGTTATGGTTTTAGCGGCAGCAAACGATTTAATTGGTTTTTGGCCCTTTGGGGCTGCTTTTTGTCAATTCTGGATTTGTTTGGATATTGCTTGTAGTACTGCTTCTATTTTAAATTTAGTAGGTTATTTGAAGAGATTTAAGAGAATGAAAGAAGCCCTTCATTAAAAAAATATTTTATCTTTACCTTCTCTCATTTTAAAATTCATCAGAAAAAATTTCTAAAGTTTACGTTTTAATTTCTCATTCTACGACTTTTGAGAGTAAATCCCTATAATTAGACAAGAACTTTTAAAACACTTTGTTGGGCTAAAAATTTTGGACAGCTTTTTAGCCAGGTTTGGGCTAAAATCCAAATCCCCAGAAAGAACGTATTCTCCAGAATTGGGTCGAAACAGTCAGATGTGTCGGAAATCGGAACTGGCTCAAAAGTCGGAACTCGGAACTCAAAATTTTTTTCGAAAATTGGAAGGTCTTCTCCAAACCAGAAACCCTCAATCTTTTGCACAACACATGTTTTTTATTCATTTTTAATTTTTATTTCAATTTTTACAGTGTGCTATAGCCCTCGATCGTTTTATTCACATTAGCAGACCAATGCGTTATGTTAGGTAAACTTTTTTTATTTTATAAAAATTTTTTCTAAATTTTTTTTCGTCATTTTTTCCCATAATTCTATTCTTAAAATTTTCCCTTATTTAAATTTTTTATTTGACTTTTAAAATTAAAAATTTTTTTTCCTATTTTCCCTCAGGTCCTTTTTAATAAACAAATAAATTTTCCGAAAAAATTTTTTCTCAAAAAAAACGTGTGAAATACCCAAAAATAAATACAAAATTCACCAAAATATGTGACTTATCCCACACAAATTTTTTGTCGGAAATAGGAAGAGCCGAAAATCGAACTAGCTCAAAAGTCGGAAATCGGAAGGAAAAAAACGTCGGAAATCGGAATTCCGACCCACCTCTGATCACACCTTTTTCACCTATGCCCCTCTAACATATCCCAATCTCCTAGCTATTCCAATCTTTTAGATATCACAACAGAATTTTTGTTTATTACATTTATGGTTGGCGTTTTCGAGTCGGGATGGTACGAGTCACTTTCGGGCCAAATATCTTATCCCCGTCTTGATCTTTCGGTCTGAGTTGGGCCATTTTAGCAACCCTATTTATAATGTGGGATAAGTAAGAGATTTTGGGTATAACTTGGAGAGAAAATTACTTCAAAAAAAATTGAAATTAAATTTTTTCAGTGTCTAAAATTATTTATTTACTAAAAATTTATTTTTGTAATTTAAGTCAGTTATATCGCCTAGGAAACATTATTTAGTGGCTTTTTAAAAATAAAAAAAAATTAGAAAAATTAAATAAGGAGAAAAACAAAAATAAATAAATATCCGTAAAAGGAAGCCAATTTAGTTGCAAAAAAAAATTTTTTTTTGAAAGATTAATGAGATAAGCTAAATAACTCTATTTTAAGGCAGCAAAAATTAGATTAAATTACTTTTATTTTTCTATAAATTAGAGATATGGTGGTATTTGAAAAACAGGGACTAATAAATGTGAAATAGAGATTAGTAACTGGTATTTTATAGCGAAATCAGGGAAACAAGTGTTTCCGGACCAGTGCTGATCGAACAAAAAATTTTTAGTATTTAATTTTAGAGTAAAATGATATAGGGCTCGAGGTAGCAGGCCGATATACCGCAAGCCCAGTATACCGCAGAGTTATAGCTTCGTTAAAAATTGTCGAATCCAGGACGCCCTGGTATGTTTCGATGCTGCTCGACGAGCTGAATCAAACTATACCAGGGCCTACTGGATTCGACAATTTTAACAAAGTTATAGCTCGGCGGTATACTATGTCGTGGTATATCGGTGTGTACCCAGGCTCTATCACCCCTTGTCCATATAGGAAGACAAAACCTGTTCCCTTCCCTCTCTTTACAAATTAAAAATATTTTTTCTAAAAATAGATTTGTTGGAAGAAGAGTTATTTGTTGTTCTGTTTGTGCTATTTGGATAATTTCTACAGCTGTTGGAACGGCTCAAATAGCTTTTGGTGCTACTAATGGATTGGAGATTTATTCAGTTATATTTAATGGAGATTATTTTGGAGGGATTAATGAGACTGATAAATTTAGGTAGATATTAAAAATAAAGCTAAGCCTCAATTTATATGCAGTTAGAGAGGTTTTTCCCCAATTTTTCAGTATTTTGAGGAATTTTCTTGCTTAATATTTCCCCAAAAACCTCAAAATATGATCAAAATAGGCATTATGCAACAACGTTTGAAATATGCATAAATATCTAACGTCCCCCTCTCTAAAGTTTAAAGCCAACCGGAAACTGTTTTTTTTATTTTACACAATTCAAGTTTGCCAAAAAAAGCATTTGCATAGAAATCGCAATTCCACTTATAATACTGCTTGAAGTTAAATCTGTCGATGCACTGCATTGACATACAAAAATATTTAAAACCACCCGTAGGATTCACACTCGTATGATGAAAATTAACATTTAAAAAAATTTATAATAAATAGATTATATTATGTAAAATTCATTCAAAAATTTGAACTTTGAAATGATTGTAATTTTTTAAACTCAATTTTTCTAACATAATAAAATTTCCTCATTTTTTTCAACAGATTTATCGAACAACAACCTTCACTAGTTCAATGTCAACTACAATTATCTCCTTTTTATGCTGTCTTTTCTTCCTTACTTAGCTTCTTCCTACCAGCTACTTTGATGCTTTTTCTTTACTACAGGCTTTATTTATATGCTCGACATCATGCTAGATCTATACAATCACAACTTAAGCAGGTTAGAATGGATAAGCGACACTTAGTTTATTTACCTTTTCAATTATGAAACCTTCGAGAGCTTTTAACCCTCAGACAAACACGTTAAAATAGTGACTCTTCCCCTCAGTCACTATCCTAACGCATTATTCTGATGGTAAACGTATCTTCGACCAAACCCAATACATATGTCCCGCAACCTTATCCCTGTCCACGAGTATCCTTGGGGAGAATCCTCTTAACTACCTTTACACTTCCCTTCACATGTCTGTTTTTTAGAGGCGTATAGCCATTTCGGCATATTTTTAAATTTTAAAATTCTATTCCGTACTTCAGCAAATTCAAATTAATATCATTTTTCCTAACTTCATTTCTTCAACAAGAAATTTTTAAAAATTTTTTCATTTTGAAGGCTACTTCACTTTTGATTTTACAATTAGCCTCAGATAGAGTACGTCAAGTTGTAGTACGTCCTTCTACTGGATTTTTAGTAAGTCTAGTAATTCTCAAATCATTCAATTAATTCCCTATTTCTCTAGTCCCCCTCTTCAATAGCCCTTCACTACGATTCTCGAAGATTTAGTGGAAAATCTTCCTTTGATGGAGAATCCCTTCAAAAAGCCGAGTTTAGCCAAATAAACGTTGCTGTGAATAAATCACCAGAAAATCATTCTATCGACGCTACAATACAACAAGGAACGCCTGTACTTAGGGCTACATTGAGACAATTAAGAAGGACAGAAAGCAATAATAGTAGCGGCTTTAGCTTTGTTTCTAGGAATGGATTGGGTGTTAATAGTAGAAGGGTTGGTTGTGGTGGTGGTAGTGGTGGGGAGGTTGGTATTATTCAATTAAACAATTTTCAAAAATTTTTTTGATGGGAATTTAAGTAAAAAACCTTGAAAATGATTAAATTAAAATCGTTTCACCACAAAATTAAAAAATCTATGGGAAAAAGATCAACCTTTATCCATGCATTGAGTTCAGTAGCTTTTTAAACACTCGTTTTCAACGAGCGCGCAAAGAGCTAATGCAAGGAGCTAATACAGTTTATGTACATTTTTAATTTAAGAGAAGAAAGAGTTGTTCACCACTCCCTTCTCCAACAACAAAAAGAGGTTTTAAATCTTGTGGGTGGACTAATAATAATAATGGCAATGGAGGGCATCGTTCTTCTGACAAAAAAGCACGTGTTACACTTGGTGTTATTATGGGTTGGTCTTTTTGTAAATATTTGAGAATTCCATTTGAGTCAACTCTCTTTAGTTCGTCATCCATTCATTGTCCACTATATTATAATAGTACTTAAACTCCGAGAATGCAACAGAGAATTTCTTAAATTTTCTGAACACACTATAATATTGCTATAAATGCATAATATAATATATTTAATTTATAATTTTATTAAGCAATTTTCATTTACAAATCTGTATACTAGAAATAAGTCGACGGTCATTGGTATATTTTTGAATGTCAAACTAAATGATTTGACAAAATATGTAGTTAAGGTGTAGCAAGAACAACAATTTATAAATCTAAGGTTAGGGATGGCTCCAATAATTATAAAGAGATTTTATCTTTTTAGTCCACTTTTTATTTAACAGGCACTTTTCTCATCTGTTGGTTACCCTTCTTTATTGTAAATGTTCTACGCCCTTTCTGGCCTGAAATTTTTCCTCCACTACTTTTTCAGGTCCTCCTACCTCTTTAAAGAAAAATTAAAACCAATTTTAGACAGTTTCCTGGCTAGGTTATGCCAATTCCTCAGTAAATCCAGTAATTTATGGAATATTTAATCGAGACTTTCGACGTGCCTTTAGCCGTATAATGAACAAATTAATTCATTGTATAGACGAGGAAAGAAGGGGAGGGAACAGTCGAGGAACATTTAGAACTAGAACAGAAAGTGAATCTTTTAATAAATTTAATAAAAGTTTAAATAATGGAAGTGAACAACAACAACAAAAATTAATTTTTAAACAAAAGACAAATAAAAAATTGAGATTTTTATGTTTTTAAAAAACAATTTTGCGTGAATATTTTTGATAAAAAGTGCAATTATTAAATATAAAAATTAATGACCTTTTTATAATAAATTTGATTCTTTGCGACGTTTAAAATCACCAATTAGCAGGTTTTAACAGAACTATAAGAAGGTTGTATCACTAATCATAAACATGGCTAGCCGATGTTGGTAATATGTAAATAAATTTCAGTTAATCTAAAGTAGTAGCCTTTCTCTTGATATGCTAGAGAAAGGCTACTAGGATATAGATAAATTGTCACTGCAATGCAGTGACATACAAAAATAATTCTAAACCACCCAAGGAATCAACAAACTCCCCATGTCTAATAGTAATATAAAATAAAATTAATGTAATAGATTATATTAAATAAAAATTAAAATCTATATTAATTAATATTCATGGTATTAGAGCTGTCCACGATCTAAAATTCTCAAGGTTGGATGGATATCAGCTGATTTATAGAAATTAAATGGAAGATTCATGGGATAACATCCAAAATTATGTATGTACATTAAATAATAATATCCAGAAATATTATACACAAAAGTATGTAACAGGGATCCTGTCGACGAAAAATTCGGGAATCGGGAATACCCGACTCGAAAAACGCCGTGAATTCCCGAAATCAACGTCATCATTAATTCTATTTTCATCTTTAAATTCTATTTATTCAATTCCTTTTCTTTTTGTTTTTTATTGTTTTCTTCTCCATTTTTATCTGTTTAAGTCCACAAGCATTACATAAATAGTGTTCAGGTATTGAATGACGGCGCCACATTGATGTTTTTGTTGCTCCGCAATTAAAACATTTTCGATCCTGAAAGCTTCTCTAAAATACATATTTATATAAAAATTAATAATAAATTATAGTATATTATGCTCAAAAATAAGTAGACATTTTATTTTAATTTTATACCACTAAAAATTCGTTTCCAAATTTTACCTTTTTAGTTTTAAGCCAAATATTTTCATTTCTAAAATTTCCATATTTTCGTTTATATGCGCAACATGCGTTGCACAAACAATGTTCCTTAAGGTATATTTCCCAATAATATTTTTGTGTCACTCTACAATTGAAGCAATGCCGTTTATTTCCTTCATTAAGTTCGCCTATAATTTCGAATAAGAAATTTTAACTTTAATAGTTAAATAAGAGATAGACTAAAATAAATAAAAATTAAAGTTACTTATTTTATTGCCAATGTAAATAATTCTGTTTTTTAATTCTTCCGAATATTCAACTTTTTGCTTTTCTAACAATTCAATTTTATATCCAATTAAATTAATTTCTGTCCAATAACTTGATAAAAGTTTGTTTTTGTAATTTTCTATATTTTCTTTTTTATTATCAAAACTCTCGTTTAATATTGACGTTACATAATATTTATTATTCAAATTAATAAAGTCATTATAACGGAGTATCTAAAATAATTGAGCAAATCATTGTAAGACTTATGTAAGTCATAGTCATTATAAGTCTTATAATTATATAATAAGTGTTGTGTATGGGCGAGAGCCCTTAAAAAGTTTAGTATAAAAGCCAGACAATAGTTAGACCTTCTTCGTTTCCTCGTTTCTACATACCTCAACTTATATTGTATTTTCTTCGTGTGATAAAGTATCTGTTTGTGATCTCTCCGTAAGCGTGATCATAAAAATAGGTCTATGAATAAATCAATGTGGAACTTAGAGAGCACCCACGATTTTTGGACAGTAATATTTGAATAATAAAATACCCTTTTTCCTATTTCCTGCGAAATATTTTGAATCATAACGTTGTTGGCAATTTCAATTAGCACTTTCTTTTTTAATTGAACGGACATAGAATAGTTTGACTTATTACTTAATTTCTTTAAAAATATTTCTATCAGGATTTAATTCAATTAAACTCAAATATCCATCTATATTTCTATAAAAGCTAGCAAATTGATTATTATTCTTTTCAATTTTATTCAAAACAAAACGCTTTTTTATTTCAAAATTTTTTAAATAAATAAATTCTCTTTTTCCTTTCCAATCATCTTTAATTTTGACTTTAACTTGAATTAATTCTCCTTCACTTTGAATATTAAATAGAATAAACAAAAACAAAATAATTATCAGAATAAATTTAATCATCTAAAAGTTTGTTATCAAACGAGAAAAATGTTAAGACTAGGGCCCGGATTTACATCTCAATAATCTCCAGGGTAAATTGTAGGGTTGGACTCCGAATTTTGAGGGCACGTTTTTCGGGGAGCGTTGGAGGATGACTGACAATAAATTGTGAGTGTTATTATGTCAGTCATCCTCCAACGCTCCCCGAAAAACGTGCCCTCAGGATTCGGGGTCCAACCCTAGTAAATTCCTCCTATTGTCAGATAAAAATGTCTTATATGTCGAAAAAGAGTCATTGGAGCAATTTATATGGATTCTAAAGTTGCTCCAAATTGAAAAATAACAACGGGTAAATGTTAGTTTTTGGTCCTTCCTTCAGAACATATGATCAAAAAATTTGTATATCCATACAAATCCGGGTCCCTATTTATGACTAATCACTTTGAGTGATAAATAAACAAATATACCTATTATAATTAGAAAAATAAATTTAAGTGGGGATAGGGGGGGGATATTGTAAAGCATATAGCTGTTTATTTCCTAAGGCTATGCAGTAGGCGGCGTGGTGTAATGGCTAACACATCAGTCCGGTCTACTGAAGATGCTGGTTCGCTCCCAGCAGCCGAAAAACCTTTTGCACTAGCTAAAGGAGAGAAATAGCTATAGCCCAGCTGCTTTACTACATATATTAAATTCTAACTTATTATTCATCTAACTATAATTAATGGACAAAGTAAGTTTATTTATTTTTGTATTTTCAGATTTTAATTAAGAAATATAGGCTTGCCCTTTTATGTTAATGACAGTCGGCTCGACATTAAATAAAGTACAAAATGGTATAGACTAATTATGATATTCAAAAAGCAATTGATTAAAAGTGCAAATAGAGAATAGGTTGGGAAAATATTCAATTTCTTTAATGTTTTTTTAAATGTAATTAAACAAAGTTGAACAGATCACTTTATTGTAGTTAACTCTATTTAGATAATGCATATGGACAAAACAACAAAGAGATCCGGCTCTGACCTTTTTCAAGCTTTGGCTCGGTCTCCGAGCTCCGGATAAATAGGTTTTCTAGGCTAATGTATCGTCGATTAAATTTCGTTACAATTTCGTTAATTCTACTATTATACGATATCTTCTATTATTGACAATTATCACCTGCTTAGGAGTGATGAATTTTTATCTAACATACCGTAAATGCTGAAATAATTACCCTCTCTCAAATAATTACCCTCTCTAATAATTACCCCCTAGTTATTTTACTCAAACATTAAAAATATTCCAAGAATTACTATCAAATTTGATTATTGGAGCATTTTAAGACTCAATATCAAAAAATAAATCAATTTTGCCCCAATTGGATTGAGATATACCCTAAATCCAGCATATCCTCTCTAATAATTACCCCCTCCAGCGAGAGGTTGAAACAATAATTACCCAGGGTAATTATTTCAGCATTTACGGTATGTAGTTGGTCAGAACATCCTACAAAAATACATAACAATTACGTGAAATCGAGATTTTTGCTTTTATTAGACTATAACTTGTTGTAGAATGTTATCGAAATTTTAAATTTTTTTATTTTATTTGCTTATGTATTTATTAAAAATTAATAATATAATAGATGAAATTTGGAAAATATTTTTAATTTCATTCAGATGCCATAGCCAATTATTACATCAAATCACTTTTCATACGTACAGAAAAATAGCTAAATAATTAAAACAATAATCTTCAAAGTTAAAATCAAGTCTAGGTTGATTTTAGAATAGAGGAATTTAATGGATTTCTCGTATTACGAATCTTACCTCCAAGAATTAATGTGAAGATGGCAATAAGTTGAACTCCTAGCTTAATTTTTGTAAAAGTGCCAACAGCAGAATTACATAAATCACCACTGCATGAATAACAAGTACATTTAACATTTTTATCGTTAAACTCCTCATAACAAACAGTTTCCTGAGTACAACCTTTCGCATATTCATCTTAATTATCGAAAAATTTTATTTATAAATTTGATATATTTTTAAAATTATATTTTTAAAAATTAATTGAATTCTTGTCTCTGTTTAATTACACATTTTTTAGTTAAAATTGAAGTATCACTGAATATCAGCGAGTCCTACACGATTTTGTGATACATACATATACATAGGAGTATATATCGATAATGATTATAGGGGATTAGAAGGATATTACGGATTTAGAGGATCAAGAGGATTTAGCGGCATACCAGGTGATTACGGAGAATATCATTGGATTTGCAGGGATTAAGGAGAGTTAAGATATACCACTATAGCTGGGTACCAAAAGATCAAATTTATTACTTTTTATGAGGCATGTGAACATTTTGAGGATCTAGGCAGGTAGCTAGAGATCGGACAAACGGCAAAATCAAATATCAAATCAAACTATTTGATATTTGAAAATATTTGAAAAAATCAAATTCTTCCAAAAACTCATCAAACAAATATTTGATCAAATAAAATTTGATCAAATATTTGATTTTCCGACGTCAAATATTTGTTTGGTCCGATCTCTACAGGGAGCTATTTCTTCCAATTTTATCCACAGATTAGGTATATTTTTTGCAATTTTTTTGTTAATTTCACCGAAAAATCACAAAGCAAGGCAGAAATGCGCACGCCCCTATATATCTGAAGTTGACTTCCTGGGTCAAATAACCATTAGGGTTTAGACCAGGGCTCGGATCGACAAAATGCTAATCAAAAGTACAAAAATCATGATTCCAAAGTACATAGGGACAAAATTTCAAAAATTAAAGTACGCTCAAAATTAAATTAGAAAATATTTAATCGTGCTCAAATCTTTTATATTTCTTACCTAAATGAATCTTTTCTAATAATTTCTTGTTTCCACTGAGCATTTTGTGCATTTCAATGCACGACATGTCAAAATTCGCTTACGACGAAATAAAGCCCTAACAGTCTTAACCTCAAGCAAGTTACTTTCTTTCGACCATTTTCAGCGCCGCAGGCGAAAATTTTGGGAAATTTCGGGGTCCTAAGACAGATTTCTCCCATTTTTAGCGCCGCAGGCGAAAATTTTTAGAATTTTGGAAGGCCGTAGATAAAAAAATTCACTTTTTCAGCGCCGCAGGTGAAAATTTTTTGAAATTTGGAGCCCAAGAAGCCAGATTTCTTCCTTTTTTAGCGCCGCAGGCGAAAATTTTGAGAATTTCGAAGGCCGTAGGCCAAAAAAATTCATTTTTTTGCCATCCCTTCCCCAAATTCATTTTCAATCCAAAATGTTGATTTTAAAGTACATACTTTCAATAAAGTACAAATTCAATTTCGTAAGTACGGAGGTCGGTTTTAAAGTACTGTACTTTCAAATAAAGTACGAATCCGAGCCCTGGTTTAGACCTCTTGGGAGCTGACCAGCGAAATGGACACATTTAATATTCTACGCGAAGAGAGAAAAAACAATTTTCAAAGCAAAACCTCCACAAACATATTTAAAACAAAGATTGTAATCTGTTAAGCAATATTTCATTCCATAAATTTGTACATCACCAACTTGTGCATCTGCACCAAAATAACATCTGGTCGAATCTAAATTTGATGTTCTATTTATTTATAAAGAGATTTTATAACCTCCAGAATCGATTTTAAGCATATTGAATACAATAAATAATAAAATAGCATACATTTTATAATAAGTAATTACCTATGTATATTAAATTATGTAATAATAGGAAGCAATCTTTTGAACGATTTAAAAAGTCGTGGGGATTTTTAAATCGTGGCTTTTAAATTTTTTATAAAATTTCATAAGGATACTAAATTTGATCAAATATTCACTAAATGATGATCAAATTTATTATTTCATTAGAATCAGATTCAGTAATGGGTCCAATAAAGAGTATCTGATCATTGGATATCCTGATTTGAAATCGAAAATCCCGTAAATAACAAACGGGATACTATCTCGCGCTATCCTCAGATAATAAACCAGTATTTACTTTTCAGCGTTTTAAGCGCATTTTTTAATTTTAGAAATAAAATAAACCAGATTTCGGCTCCCAGAGCCAAATTTAAGCTCAATGTATAGTAACCAAACTCTCATCTTTTAGATACCAATACCATAACCTAACCCGTTTTAAATAGGGGTGTGTGCCATGTACACACTGTCTCTTTCTTTACAACTTTGACCTCTCAAATGACCAGTCTCTTTTATATTTTTTAAACTGGTCACTCAATGGTATTCACTTGTCTAATTTTTCCTTTTGCCCCCGGATGTTGTCTAACAAAAATCCCGAGTAAATATAAATTAGTATATACAGAGAACGAGGGGCAGAGAAATATGCAACCTGTACATCACTCAGGATTGTTGTTAGACACCTTTCGGGAATTTTGGAACCGACAACCATATTTATGGGTTTAAACTATGTATAAGTTTATCACTTACTAATTCAACCACATAATTATTTAATTAACAACATAGATTATATGTAATTTAAATTAATATTAAAGTTAACCAGTACATATTTAGTTATTAAATATAAATTATCTGATTTAATGAATCACTTTTTTTGAAATTTCAATGAATATAATTTGTTAATAGTAGAGATCGGTCAAAGAGGTCGGTCGATATTTTTTCGATAAATATCGAAAAATATCGAAACCGAAAAATATCGAAAAAAAAGTCTCGATATTTTTCGATTTTTCAAAAAATTTTTATAACCAATAAATAAAAGAATAGCCAAATAGTTTAAGGAGATTAAGATTGATTAAATGGGATATTGGTGGACTTGGACGGATTAAATGGAATATCACGGGTTTGATATCGAATGATCAACTGGGATATAAGTGGATTTTAACTAGGGATATCGGATTTTAAGGAATTAAGGGGGTTATTGAAGGATTAAATGTGTATCGAGCGATTTAGAGTGATATTTTGGATTTGTGAGATCAGGAGGAATATCAAGGTATTTGTGAATTAAGAGGGATATCGGGGGATAAAGTGATATCAGAGGATAAAAAATCTAGACAATTGATATCCGTTTTGTATCCATCTCTCCCAAAGCTCCGACTTGATCCCTTGAGATCCATTTTATCCAATTAATCCTCAATTAGTTATAAAATAGTCATTATCCCGGATATCCACAACATCCGTCATGATCCTTGGATATCTCAAATATCCCACCAAATCTTCGGATATCCCATCAAGTTACTCTTAACCCACTGAAATCTCCCTTAATCTACCGAAATCTTTCTTAATTCATATCAGTGTTATGTACCATATCAGTGTTATCTCACTCTCAACTCGCTTTGGCAAACTAAATCGTGAATATAGAAGAAACCTTTCTGAATTTTTTGAATTTCCGATGGGCAAGAAGCAAAAATCATCCTTTTTTGAGCCAAAAATTTAAATTTTTGTCAAAAATGACGTTCGATCTTTTTTCGATTTTTTGTAATTTGGTCGGTCGATTGTTTCGATTTTTAAATTTTGTCGGTCGATATTTTTCGATAAATATCGAAAAAATATCGAATACCGAAAAATATCGAAAAAGTCAAAATTTTCTCGGTCGATATTTTTTCGATAAATATCGAAAAAAAATATCGAAAAATATCGATAAATATCGATAAAAAATCGTATCGGTCCGATCTCTAGTTAATAGTATATATAGATTTGATGGTTTAGTATAATTTGATGATAATAAAATTAATGATAACAGTGATTTGGGGGTTAAAAGAATTGCTGAAGGATCTAGAGGGAGCATGGTGGATTTAGATGGATCAGGAGTAACTGTGTAAACTAATACTTACTCTCCATATGATTTATTTCAATTAAAAAATTATTTAGTTAATAATACAAAGTTGGTTTTAACATTTGCCACAGGTTATTGTGTTTATTTTTGGATGTCAGCATTGTGCTAACAAGTTATGTGGAGAGGAATTTAAGGGAAACTCAAACATCTGTGAGATAGTAAAAAATTAAAAGCAGTCGAGGTTCCTGCTTAATCCTTTTCATACCAACAAATCTCAATTTTAATTCCCAGTTTTTTCTTTATAAATTGAAATGATTCAGTAGAGATATGTTAAATAATTTTAAATAGAAACACCTAAAGAGGTGAATTAGCTTCTAAAGAGAAAATGCCAAAGGATTTGGAGAGAATAAGCTTTTTTTAATCAGATTATTTATAACCAAATTTTTTTAATTCAAATATTTTCCGTCAAATATTCTCCAACTTAAGAGAATATGAATGATTTAATGGAGAACAATATGAGCATCTGAAGCATGACGGTATATTAACCGTTGGGGTATAAAGGGATTAAAACCGGTTGCGGGTAAGTTTTCGATTGGATATTGGGTGATTTTCTCAGAGAAGACACCGGTCACGGTCTCTCTGAAAAACCTTGGCTAGGCCCGAGCCAATTCTAGCTATTTAATAATTTCATAAATTATTTCATAAACTCTCATTTATTGCCAGAGCTCTTATCTAACAGTAAAGCAGCTGGGCTATAGCTATTTCCCTCCCTTAGCTAGTGCAAAAGGTTATTCGGCGGCTGGGAGCGAACCAGCATCTTCAGTAGACCGGACTGATGTGTTAGCCATTACACCACGCCGCCTACCTTAGGAAATTAATAGCTATATGCTTTACATAACTATTGGTTTCTTCCTATTATCTGAACATTTATCTACACTGGTTTATTTTATTACATTTTGTAAATTAAGTTCTTACTATTGCACTACTTGACCTTTAAAAAAATTTTTCTTTTTTGTTTATATTAGTTGATTTTTTTGATCTCGTTTTATCTTGTTCCGCCCTTCTTCTCTTGCTAACCTTTTATTTTTGTTACGCCCAAAACAACAGACAAACGGACCGAAAAATGCAAATTATTTATAGGATGTTAAAAAAATAGATTTTTTACTAAAATTAATTCATTAATTTATTTTAATTTATTTTATTTGCAAAATTAAGTTTCAGGTATATTTTTAGAATCAATTTATTCTTCATCAACTTAAAAATTAATTTTTCTTCAAATGGCACTTAAACGAATTCATAAGGTTTTAGTTTTAATTTGGGTTGCATCTGATAGATAAACCTAACTAAAACTGAAACAAAATACCGTAAATGCTGAAATAATTACCCTGGGTAATTATTGTTTCAATCTCTTACTGGAGGGGTAATTATTAGAGAGGATATGCTGGATTTAGGGTATATCTCAATCCAATTGAGGCGAAAATGATTTATTTTTTGATATTGAGTCTTAAAATGGCTCAATAATTAAATTTGATAGTAATTCTTGAAATATTTTTAAAGTTTGAATAAAATAACTAGGGGGTAATTATTAGAGAGGGTAATTATTTGAGAAGGTAATTTTTTGAGAGATGATAATTATTTCAGTATTTACGGTAATTGTTTGTTAGCGGCAAGGGTGTCCCAATTTCCAGATTGGAAATTGCTGATTATATGTATTATCGGTAACCTGATTCCCAAAATAATGAATTTTTGATGTGTGACTGATTGATTTATTATTGTCTTATATAATAAAGTTCCCTATATATTTTAGGAGCTTCTCGACTTTAGACGTGAGCCTCCAGCTTTGTGTAGTGCAGGTCCTATCGGCGAGGATCTCTTTACTTGGCAAGCTGCAATTACGGGACCGCCAAATTCTCCATATCAAGGAGGAGTGTTTTACTTGTATATTCAATTCCCGACAGAATATCCGTTTAAACCGCCACAAGTCTCGTTCAAGACAAAAATTTTCCATCCAAATATAAGTGAGGATGGATATATTTGTTTGGACATTCTCCAATCTAAATGGTCGCCAGCTTTAACTATTTCTAAAGGTAATTTTGAAAGGATCCGCTCCAATTTAGTTTGACTATTTTTAGAACGGTAGGCACATTTTCCCGAACAATTTGATTAAAAAACCTTCAAAACTTATATTTACATAACAATTTTAATGAGATCTCGATTTATATCAGAATTATTTTAAAGTTGTAATACATAAACAAATGTTAGGAATTAATCCTCAAGTACATAATTTTTGTTAAGTTTGATTTAAGGGTGACACGACTTAAAACCGCAATTTTTGTGATTTTTTGCCAAAAATTAATAATTTTTAAAGAAATTTATAAACCGAAAACCGGTACTCTATGAGAATGAGTGATCTTTTTAAAAATCCCAAAGAATTAAACCGGTATCTAACAAAAACTCAAAACTGAAACCCAGGGGTACCGGTTGATAACAGGTTGTGTCCAACCGCAGTTATATACAAAAAGAAATGGAAAGTTTCTTGCTTATAATTTAAAGAATATATAAGATCTCATACACGTTAGAAAACTCTCATCGGGAAAAAAAAGAAAAAAAACCCTCATAACTTAACCTTTAACGAATTAAATAATTTTCCTCACTTTTTAGTTTTGCTTTCAATCTGCTCTCTGTTTGGCGATGCAAACGAAGCTCATGGAATGAGTAGTGATGCTCTTAAGTTGTACAAAACTGATCGTGTTAAATATGATGAGACGGCTCGAGAATGGACGCAAAAATATGCAATGTAATCTATTTGATAAATTCAAATGATTAAGGTCGGACCTCTTTATTAAGTAAAATTCCACATTAGATACAATTAGAGCCAGGAATTTCTTTTCGGTGTTCCGTAGAGAATTAAAGAATTTTTCCGTATCATGTAAACTTTACGGAATACCGATATATACCGATAAAGTTGAAAATTTTATTAGTGAGTATTCCGTATTGTATTACCGATACGGAATACTGAACATCGTAGATTGGTAGGGTCGGGCTCTTTGAGCGATACTAATTGAAAATTAAAATAGACAAACGAATTTTTAAAGTATCTTTATGATATTATGGTCTATTTAATGTAAGGAATTTAAGTTTTCCTTACATTAAGATACACCTATCTATTTAAGATATTATTTTTCAAACGCAATTTTTGGCTATCTACAAATGAGGTTCGATCTATTTTGTTAATTAATATGAAAAATTCTATACATTAATCTTTTTTGATTTAAATAAAAATTTTTTGTTTTAGAAATTTCATAGATAGGGTGTCACCAAATAAATATCCGAAAGTATAAGTCTCAACATGAAGTTAGAAATTATTTCTATTAAATTTTAAAATTATCTATATATAAAATAATTTTTACTAGAAAATTCAATCCCGAATGGTGTTTGATAACAATCCTGCGTAAACCCGGATCCCCGAAACTCTTAGTCGGAGTGGGGGGAAAACATGCACACCAGGGTTGCCGCGGGTACAAAAAATCTTCGGGTACGGGTTTCGGGCGGCAACCCTGATACACAACTTGTGTCGGAATTTTTTTTAGGAAATTTTCGAACATTTGAATCCCCAAAATACGATTTTGTAAATATTTTCCTCGAAAGTAATAGAAAGGTATAAGTACATAAAATAATTTTTTTCATAAGCTAGAAGAGTGATCTGTGCTGCAAATTTTTATTAGATTTTTTTCGGCCTAAACTAAACAAGATTTTATTAAAGTTTAAATAATTCCTCTCTATCTTTTGAAATAAAAATAATAATTTTATCTTCCAAAATGTGTGATTAGTATAAAAATTATAAAATTAAATAACAATTTAAACTAGGGTTGTTGACGACCGGTTATTAACCGGTACCTCCGGTTTTCTGTTATCGCCGGTTTTTGACCCACGGTTTTCGGTTCCGGTTAATTCGCAAAAAAGATTGGTTAACGGTTCCGGTTCGGTTAAGGTTCGGCCAACAACCCCAATTTAACCTTTCAAATTAATTTAATTCCTTTTTGACTTAGACCATTTTGAAAGGAGAAAAAAGTAAAGGAAAATGTGTACTAATTTTCCAATTCAAAACTGAACCAAGCAATTAAAAATCTCACGAATTGTTTGTGTTTAATGTAAAAAAACAAAAATTTCTCAAGCATATTTTTTGTAGTTAAGACAGCAACATAAATTTTCAAATTTTTAAAAAAGAAATTTTCAAAGAGTATGATTTAAAAAATGCACTTTTATTCTATTTGAGGAGATACTGTATTTTAATTAGAATAAATAAAATACCGTATTTATTCTAATAGAATGGCCCCTTTCTGGGGGTATCGAAAAATAGAGTGGCGGCCATTCTATGATAATAAACATATATTTAAAAAAGTTTTTTTTTGTATTTTAGCGTGAGTATGTTTAAACTTTTTAATTAATATTTGTTAAAACAATAATAAAAACTTTGAAATAAAATTTAAAAACATAAAATTGTAATTTTTTTGAAAAAATGTCAGTTGATATTTTGTTCAAATTTGATTATTTTGTTTGTTTATTAATTGGTTTTCCTTTAAATATTATTCTGATTATTTTAATTATTTTTAAAACACCAAATGAAATGAAAACACACAGCCAAATTCTGATACAAAATTGTGTTTTGGATATTTTAATGTTGAATGTTCAAATGCTTTTACAGATGGTATGACCCGACATAATAAAATGAATAAGCATGTTTAAAAAAGTGGGCCTGGACCAAGGCCTGGGGTTTTACTGTACCCAGAGTCCAGGCCCAGGCATTTTTTGACCTTCCTGGGGTTTTCCTGGACTACAAGCCCAGGATTCGGCCCAGGTCAATTAATCAAGCCAGAAACCAGAGCTGTGTTGAACTTTCGATTTTCGACGTTTTTTCTTTCAATTTTCGACTTTCGAAGATTTTTTTATTTCGACGCAGTCCTGCCCGGAACCCACAAACATTCCCAGGCTTTTCAAAAATCTGGATCTCTAGTAAATAAATAAGAATTAATATTTACTGAGTAAAATCTAATTAATTACTAAATAATTTACTTTAAATTTATTAAAGTTTTATATAATTGACAATGATGGGCTGTCTAATATAATCTTTACCGGTGGAATATTATTTAGATATCTGGAAAACGAATTTAATGTCGTTAATTTTTATACTTATTTTATAATATACAATTTTCTATATCATTTAAATTTACATGGGTTATGTGTTCAATTTGTTTATAGATATCTGACTTTGAATAGGTAAATAAATTGTATAATTGTGGATTATATCAATAAAGAAACAGGTGTACATCCTCCCGTCTATGTATAAAATCTGGTCAGAAAATAAGTTAGGTTTAGAGGGTATAAATTTGCGGGTTTCTCTTATACACATCCTTAGTGGCATTAAAATTAAAAATAAATACTCTTATGCTTATACACAAACAGGGTGACAAGAAAGAAATGGGGGCCTTTCAGAGCTTATAAGCCTGGTTCCAATATTGGAACTTTTCGCTAGAGATTCAGTTTACAAAATTTCATCTCCTCCAAATATTCAAAAAAACACTGTCCAAAAAATTTTTAAAAATTTTGGCAGAAAAGTTTTTGGGAAAATTTTTTCTAAAAAGTATTTAGTCTAGTAGCCACGACTGTTCACTTTAAAAAACCCAGCAATACCCGATCATTAGGCACGCCTAAGAACGTAAACAGGGTCTAATTCCGAGTATACTCCAATCCATTGGTTTTGATTAGAGTTGCCGTTTTCGGTTCGAGCCGACGTTCGGTGCATTTTTCGAGCTTGGTTTTTTCGATTCGGTTCGTTTTCGAGCTGAACAGCCTAGGCTCACTCGATCTTTCTAGTTTCGGTTCGAGCGAGCTGGCAACCTTAATTTTGATAAGAAAAAGCGCGATGGAAGCTTGTTTGGCCGGAGAATAGATTCATTATATGGATTTACATAAACAACGTTATTAAATTCAGAACTTGAAAAAATAAATTTCTGAATTTAACATTAATTTTTTAATCTTATTTAATTTCTAATTTTTATACTTTTTAATCAGAAATATAAAAATTAATTTACGTCGTTATTTATATATGTTAACGATCGCTATATTTGTTGGAATAATTTACATCTTAAATATTATTTATTTTTCACATAATGTTGTCGGAGGAATTAAACAATTTAACGAAGCAGATTTAACAACAAAATATCCATACTTTAAATCAGACATTCAACCAGTATTTTTAAAATAATTTTAATTTAATACAAAAATATCTACTAGATTATGATGATTTTCGTAATTCCAATTGAAATTACTCCCTATATTATAATATTTATTTGTGCATTTAAAATGATAAGATATGTAAATTCATATGCATGGACTGATGCTTATTTTAAAATATATGCTAAACAATTAACAATTACTCTGATTATTTTGGTAAAAAGCAAAATAATAAAATTTATTTACAAAATATAAAATAAATTACAAATATAAAATTTATTTACAATATATTTATTTACAAGCAAAATAATAAAATTTATTTACAGAATTCCTCTAAAGTCTTTGCATGCACATTTTTTATCATAACTTTATTAAATCTCAATCAAAATTCTTTGATTTTCATGAATCCTTGCGTTAAAATAAGGAAATACGCTGATCTACTCGAAATCGGAACTTATATGGTTTAGGTGCGCTTTTTTTAACCACGCCCCTTTCTCCTTTTCCCTCGTCAAGCAAACCGTGTCCGGACAAAATATCGAATCGTTAAAATATGGAATAGGCTAAAAAAGGGTTAAAATCTCGAATCGGGTAAAAAGGGGTTAAAATCGCGAATAGGCTAAAAAGGGGTTAAAATGTGGAATCGTTAAAATATGGAATGGTTAAAATATCGAATAGGCTAAAAAAGGGTTAAAATATGGAATCGTTAAAATATTGAATGGTAAAAATGTCGACACGGCCAAAATCGATCAAAATGTCGAATTTTTTTAAAAATGGCGCCAGAACTAGAATCCGGGCGTTACCGTAATACCGACGGTATTTTTCGATATTCCGTGTCGGTTGTACGGTACGGAATCCGACCGATAAAATTTAAAAGCTGATCGGTATTTT